TATGTCCATGAGAGCAGCCTTGGTGATGGTCGACGTGAACGGGGTCTTCTGTGTTTGCTGGAGGATCTTGTCCAACTCCGGTGCCGAGGTCGTCGCCTTGTGTATCTTGTTGTTTATGTCGTCAAGGCGTTGATGGAGGAGGTCGAGCTCTGAGACGGTGGTCAGGTCGGCACCTGTGGTGTTACAGGATGAACGAGCATTGGAGCCTTCAGCCTGCGCTCTTTGCAGGTCGTCTGTCGGTGTGGTGCCGAACAGGTTATTGACCAGTCTGGTCGTATCTGTGTTGTGGATCGGCGGGCGTGGGGGCGTGATTAGATCGGCCGGCTCTTGAGTATGAACCCTAGAGTTGAGAAGCCGATCTAGGTCTTCTCGGTAGGCGATCTGTTCGGCGTGGAGGGACTCGAAGCGAGCATCCATTCCCTATTGTAGCTGTGCCGCGACCGATCTGATGATAGTGGCCATGTTGATGGGAGGTGGCTGCGGCAGGTCAGCCTGGTTTGTCCCACCAGTTTGGCCGACCTGGCCTGTTTCGCTGGTGTTTTGTACAGCAGTCGTGTCGTCAGTCCGTACATTGGTCTGATCGTCTATCGGGAGTTCGGTGATTGGATCGACGATTAGGCCCTGGGTGTTCCTGGTGGGATCGACAACTCCTTCTGCAAGGTCGGTGGATCCTCCAGTGAGATCGGTGGCTCCCGTGGTGAGGTCAGTGGTGTCAGAGTTGATCGGTGCTCCAACCATCGTCAAGTTTCCTTCTTTTTTAAAGATTGCTCTCCTATTCCCCACAGACGGCGCCAACTGTGAAAGCTCAAGTTCGACTTATAGAAGAGAACTAGGGTTTGTGGGTTTAAAGAAAGATCTTATTAAGAATAGTCGGAGCTTGACAGAGTACACGAAGGTTTAGGTCGTCGGAATAAGAACGCCGACCTAAACTTTTTAGGAAAGTAAATCGAGAGCTAGAACAATTAAATTGCTTAGTTTGCCCTAGGTCTCGAGAGATGATTTTTGGATGCCTCTGAGAAGTCGAGGACTTTCCATATTTATAGCTGATCAGGTCGGTCTTCGATGTGTGTGTAGAATAGGTAAGTCTTCTTGCCGACAAGAAGGAACTTCCTTTTTTTCCGGGTTGCTCGATAAATGGAAGATTTTCATTTATTTCGCCGACCTGAAACTTGTTAGATGGGCCGACCAAAATTCATATCGGGCTTGTAGAGATGGTGTAAATCTCATCTCTAACAAGCATGATAACTATCGTGTTAACGTTGATATCACCATCTTCCACCCCATCACTATTACCACCACCACCACCACCTATAACCACCTCCACCACCACTGATCACTATTACTACCACCGCCACCATTATCAGACAATTCCATCACTTTCACTACCATCGGCCCGTCATCACCAACACTATTACTTTCATCACCATCGGCCCGTCATCACCAACACTATTGCCACCACAACCACCACCGTCGCTGATATCACCACCACCACCGATATCACCACCACCACCATCTTTCACCATCATCTCCACTATCTTCCACCATCATTGTTGCCATGACTCCTACTGCCTTCACCACCACCACCCTTCACGGCCACCACCACCCTTCACGGTCACCACCACCATTTCTCTTCTTCTTTTTCTTTTTCTTTCTCTTTCCTTTTCTAATAAGTATGAGTTAAAATTGTCAGTTTCTATCACTTAATTTCTTTATTATTTGAGTTCATTTATTATAATTACTCTTTTTTCACTACCATCAATTAATCTTTAAAGTCATTACCTTCTTAATTATTTACAAGGTAAATATATTATGATTATGTTACTTTTAACACAAAAAAGATCATGGTACTTCAACATGTGTTTGATCAATAAAAATATTTGATCTGACCAGAAAGTAAAAATGAGTGGTTAAAACTAGTTTGGGTATTCAGGTCTGTTTCGGATAGTAATCAATTGGTTTGGATCTTTTGGGTAGATGGATTTTGAATCTATTTAAGAACTAATAAAATTTCAGTTATGTACAAGAACCATCTAATATTTTAGCAATATCCAAAATCAAATTAAACCGATTAATTTGGATCGATTTGGTTTGGAAATTCAGGCATAGAGCTAGTTAAAATTCCTATTTTGATTGTAGTCATAACTGCGTGAGAACAATTTTTTAATTATAATTTTTAATTTTTAATGTGAAATAAAAATGGTAACTAAATTTCTATTATTAAAATTATGAAATCAGAAATAAAACTTATGAAATCGAATATACTGTTTATATATAAAGTGTGTATTATTTTTTTGTATGGAAAATGTATTTATAGAAAAAAATTAGGTGGGGCATATTAGATTAATGATTTGGGATGATTTCATTTTTTCCCTAAATTTCTTATTGAATCTAACATTTGAAAAAGTTACTTAAAATCAAAAATTATTGGATAAATCATTTATACAAATTCTTAAAATCTTGCTTTATTGGAAAATTGGGATTTCATTAATGAATTATTTAAAAAAATGATTTGGGATGATCTGAGAGGTATTTTACAGTTAAAAACCAATACAATGAAATATCACCCCATATGAATTTAGAAGACAAAAGTTGTAAATTATTTTAAAACTTTATATTGGATTTATCAGTTCCGTACATTTTAAACACAAACCAAAGGCAAACTAAACTATATCTATGTATGTATCCTTTACACAATACGGAGTTTTGAGACACAAGACTAATCTGTTTTGATAAAGTTTATTAATCCATAAAACACTAACTCATGTTCTCTCTCAAGGTAATAAAATGTTAAGATCGGTTTCTGGTTTTTGGTTTTTCATTTAACTTTCTAGATCACCCAATTCAAAAATTTAGAAAATGTAAGGAACCCATTTAAATGGAAATAACTTTGCCAACTTATACACACGGTAAGGTTATTAATTTTTTTCTGTTTCCATGGACATAACCTTACCAACATATACACACGTACGATAAAAGTCACACATACACAACACATATGTAAAAGAAAATAAAAGCTCGTACCATTTATTCAACACAACAAGAACAGATAAAGTGGACACGATTACTAGAAAGGGAGAGTGATTTTAAATTTTAAGCTATAAGGGCAAGTTTATCCTCATGAGTAGTACTAGCGGATGGTCGAGCCAAATCTCCCAAGAGTGTGGAGTTAACGTAATCAAGTGGAAGATGATTAGAGGCACCAGGGAATTCTATTCCCAAAACCCTAACAGATCTCATTATCCAATTCTCTTTGTACTCTTTGCCTTTCCAAAATTGTAGTATAAACTCCTTTTAAACTCCCACGCACCATTCAACAGCTTCGGTATTAACCACAACAAGCTGAAGTAGTTCGCATTTGGTGCATCTTCTCTTACCTTCACATTCATATAAATTCAACTGATAATTAGTGAATATAAAAAAGGATAATTAAGAAAAAATGCTATTAAAACTAAAGAAAAAGAAATAAACTAATTATTTTCGAGTTTAGTGTTTAGAATAAGTTTTGGGTCTAAAGTTTAAATAGTGAGTAAGAAAATCTTCTACCTATTAATTGAGAATGTAGTTTAATAAAAATTGCTGATTTATCTTAATTTGATTAGTTAATATCTTTAGTTCAAACAATTTTAATGTGACATGGAATTGATGATGTGTAATGATGATGTAACATGTCAGTTTTTAGTACATATGGCTTGTGACATGGTATTATTTAATTTATAAATAAAATTTGATGTTAAAAATTTGAGAATGTAGTTTAAATACTCAACTTTTTGACAAAAAATTAGAAAAATTATAATTTTGTCAAAAAGATTTAAAATCACGTTTCGACACAAAATTTTGTCAGCGAAATTACGGATTTCAAGTATTTAGCAAAAAATTTGTAGTAACCTATATAGCCGAAATTTTTTTGATATCATTATTTTTGCTTATTAATGGATTCACAATATTTGGTAAAAAATCACGAAATCAAATGAAAATACTCTGAAATAAATGTTTTGGTGGAAAAATTATAATTTCATTTTTTTGCAGAAATTTCTGAAATCGGTTTTCCACGGAAGTTTTTTGAAATTATATTTTTAATTAAGTTTTGTGGCGGAAAATTTATGGTTTCACTTATTTGGCGGAAAGTTTATGAAATCAATTTTTTACTGGTAGTTTTTGGAATCACTTTTTTAATGTAAATTTTTTGGAAATTTTTTTTTACGGATTCACTATTTCGAGAGAAATTTACAAAATTGAAATTTTGATAAAATATCTTTGGATCATATTGTTGATGTAATTATTTTGGTGCGAAAGTTACTTATTCATGTTTTTGGCAGAAAATTTGTGAAATCATTTTTTTGTTGGAGATTTTTGGATTCTTATTTCAAATAACTCTTATGCAAAATATTTACAAGCTCAAGTGTTTGTGAGAAATTTGCAGAATCAGATTTTTAGAAAAAGAATGTATTCACTTTTATTATCATCTTATCTTATCCTACTATAAATAAAGAACAAAAGTTTATATTATATGTAAATGTATTCTAATTATATAACAAGAATTACTAACCAGAAACGGAACGAAAATGTGACAGAATGAGATAAAAAAATATATAAAAGATGTAAAATATGAATAAAAATAATTATTTTATTTTACGGTTTTTAGTATTTTAAGTTTTATATATTTTTGTTTTTTGCTATATAAGATTTCTCAAACTTATTAAATCATTTTTTTACAAAATTAAATTTTATACAAATATATTATTGAACAGATCAATCACTTATTTATTATAAATTATATATTATTATTAATTAATTTAATTAAAATTTGCATGCCTGCACATATGTTTGAATCACCTAGTTTGAAATACAAGTCAATTTCATGTGAACTATGACAATTCTTTTTAAAGGACAAATTAAAAGTTTCGTCTTTCCCACTTTAAGTTTGTCCACAATCTTTAGTTTTTTCTTTGTCTTTTTTAATAATTTAGCAAGACAAAACAAATAATTGGATACAGGATGCTTTAATTTAACTTTCCTTTGTAGAGACTGTTGAAGTAATTGCAAGATCCATAGTGCTTGAATGAGAAGAGAACCTTGTCATCAAAGGGTATTCTTGGCACAATATCATTGTTATAAACAAACCTCTCAAACTCTATTTCATGCTTTCTCACCACTTCCTTCATAAACTCTCCAAAATTCTCCTCCCCTATACGTGGTTGTCCAAATGTGTAGACTCCTTCTAGCATATCAAGCAGCTCATCCTCACCGTGAACCGCAAGAATCGCCGGAAAAAGAGCAGCTATTGCACCCCCGAGGCTATGACCCGTTAGAATAAACTTAAGGTTCTTGTCTTTGGCAAGCATGTCCCTAAGCTTCTGCCTAATAGTGTAGTAAGCATATTCGTGTCGGAGAGATATAATTTCTTTGGGCCATCCATTTTTTTGGAGGCCTAAAGCTCTCGAGAACCCGGCATGGACTTTGTCAACGTTCTTTAGCTCGTACCAAATTTAAAATTTATTGGAGATAAATGATATATATGAAGAAAACTATTTCTATATATGTAGAGATGTAAAACATATATACATACCAAGAGATGTCGAGATCAGTGCACCAATCGTCAACGTCAAATGGTTGGGTTCCTCTGAAGCTAACGACGATGAGGTTCGGATTTGTGCTCGACGCCTTGAACATGAAGGCTTGCGTCAGTTTTCTTTCTTGGAACGCTGACCACAGTAAGTAAAAACTTAGAAGTTCAGCGACTTGGTTCAAATGTTCAAAATGACTAGGCTTCAAGCTTACGGCCCAGGCCCATTCACCTTTCAATGATCCAATCTTGAGCAGCAAGACGCTCCGTTCGACGAGGTCGAGCTCCAGCTCGACCAAACCCCGAGAAACAAGGAAGGATCCGAACCGAGTCAGAGCATATTCTCGCCAGTTCAAACGAGTCCGAAGATTGCGGAGGAGGTTGCTGCGCGTGGTAATATTTCCGGCTGAAGCTGCTGCACGTAGCCGAGATACACGCTGGAGTTCGAAACTCGATAAGGCGAGCTATATAAAGGGGGAGAATGACTTAGTTCGGGGACCTTCGACTTGATCTTGTTGGCACACAAAGGTTTAAAAGATACACATTTTAGTGCCCACACCGTAAGTTTTCACAAGCTTCACTCCCCTCCACTCTATACATAGGCGCTGGTATAATATCAAAATTATAAACTCAACAAAAGAGTTTGTCCATAACGTTAAGATTACTGAATATCATGCACCGTGTAGAATACCTCTAAATCCATGCAGAAAGGCGTCTAGATTCTTCTTCAAGTCAAGAATAATAATTCAGCATCAGCATTAATTAGAATATATTTGAAGACAAGAAGATAGTCAATCAAATAATCAATCGTCCACTCATCAAGCAATCAAACCCATTAACATTATTTTGTTAATATCTTATTTATTTAGCATATCGTTATTTACTATTTTATTAACTTGTAAACATTAATTGCTTTACTTTGTACGAGCTTAGAAAATGTTTCTTTGTAATCATTTTATACATACAGATTTTTGGAAATAAAAGAGAATTCTCTCTAAATCTTATGTTTTCTTTTGTTTATCTAAATTAGATGAATTTATTTACTTAGTGAACTTTTAATCTATGTCTCTTGTATGTGATTTCTTGAGACTAGATTTGTGAACTTATCATAAAGGCTTTTACACTCTTGAGTGGCGTTCTTCGATCCACCAATATCTATCCACCGTCCATCCACTGATTTAGCAAAGAGTGTTGTTTGGCTAATTGTCTAAGTTCCATAAACCGCTCCACTGCAACCATCAACCGACCTAGTGAAGAGTGTCGTTTGGCCAGTCATTTGGTTCCATCAAGCTCCATGTGAGGTCTATCCCAGATCTTACATCATTTAGATTGAAGTGAATCTAATTTGCCGAGGTTCTCTGATGGACCGAGATTTCAAAGAAACTCGGTTTACAGCTTAACTCCTTCTGGTTTGGTCGGAATCCTCCAATAAGTGCTCATATGTCCAAATCGGGTAAGTTAAAGTTAACCCGATTTGTAAGGTGAATAACTTCTTCATCTGGAATCGGTTTGGGCGGATTCAACATCGTCGTGAAGCCCTCTTGAGTCAAGCCACCTAGGATCCGACCAGTATACATGTGCCTTTCATGGGGATTATCGAAGCAACCAGAAGGATCTAAGCAACAAACCAACTTTGATGAAGCTCGAGTTCAGCTACTAGTTTTTCAATTTTGATGGATGTTGCTATCTGATTTTCAAGTATTGTGCCATTTAATCATGATTGGTTTGACACTTATCAAACTTATGTGTGGAGACCAGGAGACTTTCCTAATCACTTAGAAGCTATCAATGACGTCCCACCATGCACCAGAAAGCAGAGAATCATTCGAATCACTCCACAACTCAACTTGCCATATATAGAGCCAATTACATCAAATATGGTCCAAAGGTTATATCTGTTTGATTTATTCGACCCAGCCTGTTTGGAGACTATTTTATTGGTAATGTTCCAAGGCGTTATCACTTCATGCCCAAGTTGTCCAGATACAAGGCACCTTCAAGATTTGCTCATTTAGCCAACAATCAAGCATTAAAGACCATATCAATTAAGTCTTTGCTTGATCCATTATTTTTGCTGATTTATTTGTATTTCAAGTTAATTTATTTTAATTAGTTATTGTATTAGGTCGAGCTTTATATAAACTTTTTGAATTTTTCATTGTAAAGATACCATTGAATTTATAAAAGAAATAAAAAACCAGAAGTTTTTCTTCTAAATTTTGCTCTTGTGTTTATATTGAGTGTAACTCCATAAAAAGAGTGTTCTTGCTGTATCAGAGAACTCGTCATATTTTCTGTGGTGCCATCGATCCCCCAGCACTTCCATCAACTGATCCAACAAGAGACAGTCTCAGACCAGCTTGTTCGATCCCATCTCATGTTTCACTTCCATTTCACTGATTTCACAAGGGAGAGTCTAAGGCCAGCTTGTGTAATCTTCATCGTCCCGCTGCCTAAGTTCTAGCATATCTGAAATGTTTGAATCCGAGTGAGCCTCTCCTTGGATCTTACACCAGGCACCCTCCCAAAGATCAGAATGCTCATAGATACTGCATCTAATAGTAACTTCTTATCTAAAGATGTTGATGAGGAACTGGAACTTGTAGAGAATCTAGCACAATCAGATGGGAATTAAAATGAGGAGTTTGATAGAACCCCTAGGAGTGCTAATGATGAACTGGAGTCTAACAAGAAGGAGATCAAGGCTTTACATGAGAAGATTGATCTATTGCGAAAGGGAATGAAGGAAGTTAACTTTGTTGGTGACTTGGTTCAGATTGAAGATCAAGAAGGCTGCCAAGTTGAGGAGATGAACTATTTTGGTAATCAAGGATAACAGAATGGATATGGGAACTACAGACCTAACCCAAATCTATCCTACATAAGCAAAAATGTTGCCAACCCTTAAGATCAGGTCTATCCACCTCAACAGCAACAGCAATCTGGTCCAAGACCTTTAGTGCCTTACAACAACAACAATCAAGGCTTTCAACAAAGGAACAACAACTTCCAGCCTAGAGCACCCTACAACCCTCCAGGATTCAATGCTCAAGCACCAGCTCAAGCCTCTTCCAGTACTCCAGATGGTGAGATCAAGACTCTCATCCAACAGGTGCTTCAAAATCAGATCAACACTACCTTGGAGATGAACAAAAAGTTTGCTGAGGTCCACCTAGAAACTCTGTAACTGCTTCTTGAGCTCTTTTCAGTTCATCTTCTTCATTGAAATCCTTGTAACCGTTAGTGCTAACTTATATTGTCAATCTGTTCGAGAGAATCTAGCCCTTAATTCTCCTAAGTTTCTTTCCTTACAAAAACACATAAATTTCTGAGTGTGGATTTCTGCATCCACATTTTGGCGCCGTCTGTGGGGATACATCTATAGATTTCTCTTACTCAAGAGCAGATCCTAAGCCAGATGAAACCGGAATTGATTCAACTCAACAAACCTCAGGAAACGTCTCACCGATTCCAATCTCTCCAGATCAAGTTACTCTGACCGGCAACGTCAGCCAGACAGCCGGCAGAAACGAACCCAGGGTTATGACCCTCGTCGACACCACCGGCACGAACCCTAACGTTCCCAGCCGTGTGGAACCGATCGTAATCAACCTCGTCACCCCACCGGGTACGACAAGTAACCAGTCACAAACAGCAGAGAGGCCTCCCTCTCGAACCTGGGTACGATCCGAGAATCCACCTACAGCTTTGGCATCACAGAGCCGAGCAGCTCTTGTTTCCCTGCCGATACCCGTAGCTTCTAGGAGCACGTCGGAGTCGTCGGAGATACTCCAGATGCTCACTCATCTGATCGATTGGCAACGAGATCAGGAGATCAGATTAGAAAGACAGGAACGGCATCAAGCCGCAGCTCGATCCGCTGTGAGTCCACCTCCACAGATTCAGCTCGACTTTTTGTCGACCCCTGCTCCGAGTAATCCGCCTGGACCATACTTGACACCTCTGCGTGCTCCAGGTCCACTAAACATCGCCCCCTCGGTGAACCAGACACCAATCACCACGGATATTCTGGCTCGAGGAATACCAGAGATGGGACCTCGTCCCACGACGAGATATCCGTCTCCACCTGTACCAACACCAGGAATACCCGAAATGGGACCCCGTCCCAATACGAGATATCCATCTCCACCTAAGACCACCTGGAACCGAGCCACCTTGACAGAGATGGCTTGGATCCTCGGAATTTGCCTCGAGCTTGCAAACACCACCCCAGTTTGGCCAACAACTGAACTCAACCTTGATGTTATTGCATATTGCATACATTTTGCATACTCATTAGTTAGCTTTTCATGCATTTGTACCATGTTTTAGGTTAGATTGCATCACTTAGGGTCCTAGAGTATTCTTGCATCAGCATACGCATTTTTCTTTCATTTTGCATCACATTCAGGTTGTTTCTGGCTGCTTTGGAGTCGTCGAGGTTCGTGGACGTGTTGAAGCTGATGTAGCAGTTCGTGGGAGCTCGGGAATATGCTAAGGACCAGAGATCGGGTAGCAGATCGAGCATGGCCGGTCGATCTAGGAGTTGATCGACCAGAAGATCGAGCCAACTAGGCGATCCAAGGGAAATGATCGAGATGGAGATCGAGTGAAGCAAGCGATCAATCGGTACGGACGTAAATGACGCCATGCAGAGCGAGG